GGGAACCTCAAGGACAGAACCAAACCCCAGTCGCTATGTGTCTCCAGGGCCCAGGGCCTTCCAGGGTTTCTTTTTTTTTTTTTTTTGAGACGGAGTTTCGCTCTTGTTACCCAGGCTGGAGTGCAATGGCGCGATCTCGGCTCACCGCAACCTCCGCCTCCTGGGTTCAGGCAATTCTCCTGCCTCAGCCTCCTGAGTAGCTGGGATTACAGGCATGTGCCACCATGCCCAGCTAATTTTTTGTATTTTTAGTAGAGACGGGGTTTCACCATGTTGACCAGGATGGTCTCGATCTGTTGACCTCGTGATCCACCCGCCTCGGCCTCCCAAAGTGCTGGGATTACAGGCTTGAGCCACCGCGCCCGGCCCAGGGTTTCTTTATCACTACTCTAGGCCCCGGGGCTCCTCCTCTTAAGGGTCACAATGGACAGCAGTTTTCCATATTGATCCCATTTTCTCTTTCAAACAACGTTACTGAGAAGGTGTAAGTAAGCGGGTCTTCACCAGGCTGCATTTTCCTTATGAATCTGACCCCATACCTGATTCCTCATTCCCCTACAAACCTCCCCTGCTCACTTCAATTTGTTTTTTATTTGCATCATCCTGGGATTGCAGTCTCTTTATGGACGTCTCTGCAGGATATTTCCATTGCAGAGAGCTCAGCCCCTTGACAGGACAGCTGTGACTGGGCTCTACAAGGCTGAGCTTCTCTCTTGCTTCTATTCTAGAGCAGCCCTAGGCCAAGCCAGAGCCAGGCCTGTCTAAATGCTGAGCCCACATTTCCTTAAGTATCAGACTTGCACTCTCACATATGGGCCTCTGGGACACACAGGCTGGATTCTCCTTTCTTGTCGTCTCTCCCTCAGATTCAGAGGTCAGATAATGGCCAGCATACCTGCAGCAAGAAGAGGAAACACTAAAAAGGCCAGGCAGAGGGCACCTGGGTCTCTGAGTCACACAGGCCAGATTCTTTGTTGTTTTTCCCACAAAGCAAATGTTGGCAGTTTCTGTAGCCAGATATTCCACAGACCCACCATTAGAACCGGCCTCTGTGAGAAGCTCCAGTGGCGTAAGAAGGGAGAAGAGAAAACACATCCAGGCCTTGCGGGACCCGGAAACCCGCCCTCAGCAGTCCCTGTGGTCCTGAGCGAGATGAGCTGCAGGAAAGACACTTCATAGAACCGAACTTCCCAGTGGCCAAGAGCATACTCAGGCCTGTTTCAACTGTGGTGGAGCCTCCCCCTCACCGTCTCATGTCCTACATAGAGGTTTTCTGGCCTTAGTTAGCCCCACACCTAATCCTCTCTTGTGACATTACAACTGAAATGTAGGTTCCCAGCACTGAGCCAGGTCAGTTCTGTGCTTGAAATCTCCATTGACCTGCGTCCTCATGCAGCATTTCATGTTGGAGTGCCTTGTTCCTGGGACACTGTGAGCCTCAGACAGCCCTGAGCACAGACCACTGGGGTGGGACGGGAGGTCTCTGGTTTGAACCATGGAAGAGCAGAATCCATGCTCCAGGGCACTGTTCACCTGCTAGAATGTTCCCAGGCTCTGACCATACATTGAGCTAGGAAGGGCTCATTTTTCTTCTTTCAAGAAAAAGGCCCAGCTCCACGGGCCCTGGCGTTAGCTGCCGTCACTCGTGTTACTGAAAGAACAGCACATGTGGACAATCAGCCAACACTTCGGTGCCATCAGGTGGTTTGGTTTTGTTTTTGTCAAAAATGGATGGGAAATTGAAGGAAGAGTGCTTTGTAACTAGAAAGTACTTCCAAATGTAGTTTCTGTGTAAGCCAGTTATTTTAGCATTGGATCAGCTGTCTAGGATAATGCCTGGACCTCTCTTGGCCCTCTGTGCCCAACTCCTTTTTATTTCTGTAGAAAGAGAAAACCAGGGGATGTCTTGGAAGAAGAGAGAGGGGGAGCCTTGGGTAGGTTTGAAAATTGTCACAGAACAAGAGTGAGAGTAGGTCATGTTTTTTTTCCTACGTCTCTTTCTGTGTGTGTCACTGTGAAAAGCGCTGCTGTGCCGAAGCATACAGTAATAGTGAGTTTCACCCTCAGACTGGAGCCCAGAGGTGAGTAGAAGCTGTGTACTGGCCGAGGCACCTATGGATCCAGAGAAGCGGCTGAGGACTCCAAAACCCTGGCATTTACTTGAGTCTGAGTAGTAGCTCAGGAGATACCCGGGAGCAATCCATATCCAGTAGCTACCAACGTGTCACTTTGGATGGTGCAGATTAGCCGGGCTGATGCTCCAGGAGATGCGGAGAGAGAGGCTGGCTGTGTCAGCACAGGCTGAGAGAGGAAACCTGCAAACGCACCTCCCAGGGTGAAATGTTTCATGAATCTCTGCGAGAATAGCCAGAATCATGCGGGGTGGCTGCCCCTGGTCTCTGGAGCCTGTCCCTACCTGTGCAGTGAGAGAGAAGTGGGGAAAAAGAGAAATCTAAACCATGGTGGATTCAGCCCCTGACCCCACAGTGGGGCTGAGCTGCCCGAGGCCTCTGTTTCTTCCCACTCTGCGGAGCAGGAGCGGCTCATGGAAATGTGTTTCTACCAAGAGACTGCCCAGCTCCTCCCTGAGCCCTGGGCTGTAGTTCAGCTCACACTGCAGACTGAGGAAGAGGAAAGTTTGCCTTCTTTCTTGTGAAGGCCCAGGGAGGAAGCACCTGCTAAGGCTGGACTCAGGTCCCTGCTCGGGGTATTCTGCCAGGTCACGGGAGGACAGAGCTGCTTAGTCCCCATCAGTGAGCATGGGGCCTTCGTCCCAAGGGCTGGGTTTCTTTGTCTGAACGGTCCTTACTGAGCAGCTGTGTAGGGACCATAGGACAGTTCCACAGCATCCCATGCTGGTTAGAGGACACACAGCCTCCCGTGGCCCATTTGGTCTCTGCAGCTCACCAGTCACTGTTTCTATTCACACATCCATCGTGCCATTCATACACACTGACTCCGTCATGCTGTGCATAATAACTGTGATTTCTCCACCCCAGAATATGTCTTGGTCCATTGGGGTGTGCTCACAGGTACATACATCTTTTAAAGAAGTCAGCATCTTCACAGTACCTTCTAAATATCTAATTGCTCACATGTGCCTTCCAGGTAGGCGTCACAGAGAAGGGGTTGGCAGAAGAGCTAGATTGACAGGCATGTAGGGGCTGTTCAGGAGAACAGTGAAAAGAATATTTTCAAAGGAAAATAAACTATTCATGACTTGTTAAAGGCAGCAATTCAGCAAAAGTTATCTATACAATTGTTGCAGACATTTTACAGAGATTTGACTCAATTTAGTCATGTAAGGAAATGAATAGATTTGGTGGACTTACATTTACCGGTGGATAGTGGGACATATTTCTCTCTTTTTGAAGTTAGCCTTTATCTCCCTCAGTAAAACTTGCCATTTTGTGTGCAATCATGTCATATTTTTTGGCCGAGAATTTGACCTAGATGTTATTAAATTTTTGTCTATTGATGTTACCACCTCTATTTTCTTCCTGGATATTTTCTGCGTTTTAGACAGTTCAGTATATATTTTAACCTCAAACTGTTTTTTGTAGACGTCTTAAATGTTTGAGCAGATAAAGGCAGAGACCATCAATTGTTCAGCGTAGCCCACATCTACTCTTGTGCTAACTGCGCAAACTTCCCATGAGTGTCTAGACTCACTCACTTAACAAATAACTATTGATGTATCTCTGTGACATTACCACTGTATTCTCCAGTCCAGTTCACACGCATTACTTGTCTTTACTCTGCTGATTCTTATTTTGTACTACTTTCTCTAGCTGTCATTGAAATCCTGCCCTAGATTTCCTTATATCTTCTAAGAATACCTAAATAAATATCTTCATGGGGCTGACACTAGTAGCACCCCAAAATCAGAGCTGCCTACTCTGTAAATCAGTGTGCCCCTAAATCAGGCACCTCACCACTGACACCTCCCCTCTCATGGATTCTGACCTAGAACTCATCAGTTCTCACTGCTGTTAAAGCACACAGTTCAACCTCTCCAGAGCGAGCAGAGGTCAGAATCTCACATTGCAGCCAGAAGATTGCAGCATTGTCTATTACTCCACCGGGAGAGGACACCCGGGTGCTTGTGCTTGGAATTCTCTTGAACTCTGCCCATGTGTTTCTTCACATGAATTATTTTAATCTATATGATTTTGTTGTAAAAAGGCAAAATGGCCTAGGAACCCTCAGATATACTAGCCCTCTATGGGATGGGTGCAATTCAGCAATGACAGGGAGAATCACAAAACAACGAAGCCTGAAGAAATAGGAAGATCATGTGTGATATCACTGATACATTCCAGAAAATGGAAGCCGAACAGTGACAGAGGCAGATCTGTGGCTTTTAAAGAGGGTGTTGGGGGAGGGAGGGAGATGTTAGAAAGCAAAGTGTCACGAAGAGCTGCTGGGATTGGACACAGGCTGCATAGCTCAGTGGTGGTGACATTTTCGAGGATCCAGAAAAAAGCTAAAATGTGTCTAATTTCCTACAAAAACTATGGGTGGTTTATTTTATGTACATAATTCCTCCATGAAAATAATTTTTTTAATAAAGAATGGGCTTAGGAGAAAAGAATTGGGATTCACACTGTGGACAAAGGAGGGAAAGAGACCCCTCTGGAAACTTTTAGAATTGTGCAAAGGAGGATGATGGAGACACAGGCTCCCCATTAGAGGAAGGTCTGTGATGTCACAGCTGGCCCTGCCACCTCGGCCCAGGATTGCAGTGCAGAGACCCTGTGTCCCAAGATGCAGGATCAGGAAGCTCTGCTTCTTAGAGTTCCTGTTCCTGACTCTGAGTACAAAGAAATGGAGCCTCTACTCTCACGCAGGGCCCTGGATGCCGCTGGGACCAGTGGGGAAGTTTCAGCAGCAGAAGCCACAGAGCAGGCCTGAGCAGCAGCTGCCAGGGACTCACCTTCCTGGCACAGGAGGAAGGGGGTTCTTGTCTCAGTTCCCCATTGGCCTGGAGCACTGTGCGAGCTTTCAGGCTGTCATCCCATGCTGAGCAGTAATAATCAGCCTCGTCCTCAAGGCGGAGTCCAGTGATGGCCAGGGAGGCTGAGGTGCCAGACTTGGAGCCAGAGAATCGGTCAGGTACCCCTGAGGGCCGATTGCTGTTACCATAGATGAGGGGGGCTGTTCCTGGGAGCTGCTGGTACCAGTGTACAGAATTACTCCCGACGTTGGAGCTGCTTCCAGAACAGGAGATGGTGACCCTCTCCCCAGGGTTCCCAGATGCTAAGGGCGGCTGAGTCAGCACAGTCTGGGCCCAGGACCCTGGAAATTGGAGAGACACAGACATGGTGATTTTTGGTCTAGAGACAGAAGGAAAAAGCAGGGCCTCATGGGCTTCCAGGACCCCTCCCCTGACCCTGTGTCTGGGCACCTGAGCAGTGAATGAGAAGGGCGAGGAGGAGAGGGGACCAAGTCATTATGAAGACTGTCCAGAGTCCTACCTTCTGTGCCCACAGCTGAAGCAGAGCTTCCCCCAAATTCTCCCTGCCCCTCTTTATACTGTAAGATAAGGAGGGTCCATTTATGCAAATCAGACCCTGCAGCTTTCTGATCCCAACTCCTCTGCCTGAGGATGTCAGGGTGTGGCAGGGGTGGGGCCTCATGGTCCCACGAGTTGAAGAGTTTACATCTGTGAGCCCTAAGCATAGGGCACCAAGCAGAGCAGGTGGCTGGTCCTGCTCTCATCATCTCCAGTCTTACAGGAATGGTCCCCATGCGCCCCCTGGTGTCTGTTGTGTGACATTGTACAACACCATGTATATGACCAGGTGATGAGAGCTTCTCAGAGAAATCCCTGCCTCCCCATTGTTCTGTCCACTGCCCTCTCCATTGGGGCCAGGCCAGGCAGCCCCCTGAGTCTCCTTTTCATGACCCCAGGGCAGACTTCACACTCTGCTGGGTTCCTCAGGGGTAAATTTACCCACAACTCCCTGGATGTTCACTGTATAGAACTCAGGTGCTGACTACACAAAGTCCTCTTAGATCAGGATCAAGCCCAGAGCAGGGATCAGCCCCAGGGACTCACTTCACCGCCTGTGGGGACACCTGGTACTCTTTTCTCATGCGGTTCCCTGTGGTGGGCAGAGCTGTCCTTCCTCTGTGGATCCTGCAGTGCTGAGTAGAAAGGGAGTTTTTCCCTCCAGGATGCTGGGGCACATTCCCAGAGGGTTGTTCTGGTAAATCTTTGTTCTCTATCTACTTTTCCAGACTTGTGGTCCATCTGGATTCTGTGATGGGAGATCTCGTCTAGGAGATTCTCCAAGCACTGAATGCCAGTCTGAAGGAGATCCCGGTAAATGGCTTTACTGTGTTTTACTTAAGAGCCAAAAGAGCAGATATGCTCAGTATTTGAAGACAGGAAGAGTTAAAACTGTAACTTTTTTCTTGACCAGGGTCTTTGCTCAGGTGAGCCTGACACGTGGTAGCTTTCAGGATCAACCATTCCAACTAGAATGTTTAAGAAATAATAGGGTTTAATTCAGTAATGAGTGCTTTGGGCATGTCTTAGAGATGATAAAAATTATTCATCTTTGATGTGTAATGACATCTAGGATATGATACATTAAAAACAATAAGCTTAAGAAAAAAGATAATCCTACTTATTCAAATGAGAAATGAAACAGATTGTATATATGACTGCAAGAGTTCTGGCATGATACACCTTGGACTCAACAAATATTTGTTTGGTGAATCCCATGTGACTGGAGAACAGCAGGATAGTTATGTCAATATTTACACTGGGGAATGTGTCTCAAGGCAGTTGTAGTACCATGAGGTTTTAAATGTGCCATTTAAATAGCAAACTAGACTGGGCGTGGTGACTCACACCTGCAATCCCAGCACTTTGAGAGGCCGAGGTGGGTGGATCACTTGAGGTCAGGAGTACGAGACCAGCCTGGTCAACACGATGAAACCCCATCTCTACTAAAAACACAAAAATTAGCCAGGCGTGGTGGTGGTGCATGCCTGTGGTCTTGGCTGTATGGGAGGCTGAGGCAGGAGACTCGCTTGAACCTGGGAGGTGGAGGCTGCATTGAGTTGAGACTGTGCCACTGCATTCCAGCCTGGGTGACAGAGAAAGACTCCATCTCAAAAACAAAACAAAACAAACTCACAACAGAATATCTCTATCTAATATAGACATTTAAATAGAACCAGTCTAGATATGTAACTTAAAATAAAATGCATGCTATTTTTTAGGATTGCATTTCAAGGGTGTCATTATTTGAAATGTTTCTTTTCATTGTAAGCCATGTTACTTGAAATATTTTTACAGTTTTTGAAAAATGTTTGCTGTGTTTACATAACACACCAGGCATATTAAGTTTTATTTCTTATAAAGTAAAGACAGATTGTTACGACTGGGCTTGCACTTTGTATTTTCTTGTCATTGCCTCCTCTGTGGCGATGCATAGATGTTCACAGTGAATTTTGTTTATTTTTTTCTCCTACTTTGATTGACAGAGGTTCCCCCAAACTCAGCAGTGTCTGCCATACAAAACAAGGCTGCCCAAGACCGCTTTCTGCCAAGGGATGCTCTCCCTCCTAATTGTCCCATCAGTCCGTAGGCTAAAAGCAGAGAGAGGAAGATTTCTGCTACCAGCTCTTCCAGTTCATCCCCATCCTGGGTTCAGTATAATGTGGCCAGTGTGATTTAAAAAAAAAAAAAAAAGAAAAAGAAAAAAGTAGGTTTTTTTCAAATAGTTACTGAGCACCTGCTTGCTTTGTGCTTTGCAGAGAGCTCAATGTTTGCAATGCCATGTTGATCTAGACAGCCTCATCCCTGCCGCATAAAGCTGACCCTCATGGTAACACAGCGGTAAGAGGGGCAGAGGACTTCCCATTCTCCTCCTTCATCACTAGGGCGAAGAGACCAGAGAGACCCCTGCTACACTCAGGGTTCTGAGAAGGGATGACTTGGTGGGATCTCAGGAGAAGGGAAAACAAGCAATTACAGGAGAACTGAGGGGATATTGGCAGGACTTGAAGATTCCTGGGGTTCAGGTGAAGACGTAGGAAAGTCCACAGAGTAGACCTAGATGGAGTAACACAGAGATGAATAACAGGATCTAGCAAAAGTGGACTCCCAGGAACAGAGGGATTGTGATCCAGAAAGAGACCCTGCCGGGGCAGGTCCTCAGCAGTCCAAGAAGATGCACTTTTGTACCCCAAGTCCAAGAGCTGCTTCACCGGGTGGGCCCCCTCTGCTGGCACTACTGGAAAGGAAGGCAGGGAGGAGCCACGTGTCATCAGGCAGGTGCGTGGAGAGGGGAGAACGTGAGCAGAGAGAGAAAAGATTCCACTTTAGCTGGGCACGGTGGCTCAAGCCTGTAATCCCAGCACTTTGGGAGGCCGAGGCAGGTGGATCACGAGGTCGAGAGATCAAGACCATCCTGGTCAACATGGTGAAACCCCGTCTCTGCTAAAAATACAAAAAATTAGCTGGGCATGGCGGCACGTGCCTGTAATCCTAGCTACTCAGGAGGCTGAGGCAGGAGAATTGCCCGAACCCAGGAGGCGGAGGTTGCGGTGAGCCGAGATGGCGCCATTGCACTCCAGCCTGGGTAACAAGAGTGAAACTCCGTCTCAAAAAAAAAAAAAGATTCCACTTTAGAAGAGGCTGGATGGATGGCGTTAGATGGACATGTCCAAATATACAGGTATTTTTCTAGGTATTTTATATAAATGGGGTCATTTTAGTTTGAAGATTGTGAAATGAGAATACAAATTCATGGCTATATTGTTATTATTCTAAAAGACAGTGTATCTTCAACACAGAAGTTTGCTTCACGGGTGCTATCCTGGTGGATGTAAGCACTGAGTTTTTAAAATGCTTTTTAACATTTCTTTTATTTATCATCATGCTGCTCTTCCTCCAAAACATTTAAGACAATTAAAATTTTTGACATGTGTGAATACTACATTTTTGTGAATGTCATGCACTATCTTTTTGAAGACCCAACACCTAATGTATTAATGCTGTTGTTTCTTAGGAGTAAACTCTTGAAGCTCTGGAATCAATTTTCTTGGATCCTGAAGTGATTTCTAAAAGTTATTGAAACTTTGCTTTGCTAACCTTGTATTTATTAAGGAACCACCTCCTTCTCATTTTTTTGTGACAATGGGCTGTAGATACATGGTGGGTGTCATTAGCTGCTGAGTGGAAAATGAGCCATGTGAGGGAATGAGAACGTAAGAGTGAGTGTAGAATTTTGGAAATCAAATGGCTCTAGACCTGAGAAAATAACATGATACTATTGGGTAGAGACAGAACTTTTTAGAAGGATACCGAGAAGGAGAACCTAAGATTTAAGTAATCCAGGAGAGTTCAATTAGAACTCAAATAGTTCACTTTTTGTGAACAGGACTCTGTAAAGACTTTTAGCAGTGACACAGGTGACCTGGGGAAGCAGCAGTCTTGGGATGAGTGCAGAAGGAGACACCCCACAGTGTGAACAGATGAAGTGGTGTTTCTCAAGGCCTCTGAGTCTGGTCCTCACCAAGAGAGGGGCAGGTGGAGAACAGGCGCCCAGGGGATGGTGGGCAGTACCACTTATGCTTCTTCTTGAATTCCTTTTATCCCCTTAGCTCCTCTGGGCTTAGGTTGCCAACATGAGGGTGTTTATCTGCTTTCTGTCTGTCCTGATACTACCTAATTCTCGGATTGCTGCCTCCTGTATGGGCATGGGTGTTTCTTAGCCTAGAATTGATTTGAGAAAGGAATATCAGAAAGGCAAGAAAGCCCAAATAAAACATTGTGGGATGGAAGTACACTGACCGAATCGCTTCCCAGTTTCCAGCCTTGACTAGACAACACCCGTCATGAACTAATAACGAAGGTGGAGGGCAGAGTGATGCACACGACGGCCCACGTAGGGAAGACTTCTGTTCTTTTTCTTGTTTCTGGACTGGAGATCATCCAGCCGTAAGCTTAGCCCACTATAATGATGTCATGGGAGGTGGCACGACTGATCTAGTCCAGTCATCTTAATGTCTGGGATTTCTCACCACTGAGTCAGGGAGGGCAGATCTTGCTCATTCTGGAAGGTATTTTTTTCTGTGAGGATGTAATGCCTGAGACTGGGAGGCATTTGGTTTTCAAATACCAATTCTTCCAGATGGCAGAACAGGCCATGGGGAGTGACTTCTCATCTGTCTCAGAGGGAGATTCTCCCCCTTACCTCGGAAGAGGAAAAGGTCCTGTGATGCCTTTGAACAAGGCTGGGGAGCTGTTGTCTGTTTTCACTGTGAAAACAAACTCAGGACCTCCCAGCCTTCTTGCCCATGAAGGCCCCCTCAGCAGGGGAATCACTGTGCCCCATGCAGGTCCTAAGGCCAGGCTTGACCTTTTTTCCCACCCAGGCTTCAGTCCCTCCTCCCCAGAGATTTGTGCTGCATTTAACCGTTATCTCTAGTAACCGCAGCTGGCCTC